GAAAAAGATGGGGGTTGGCATGGCGTGTGAGCATGACAGTGAATAGCCCGGTTATTGCTGCATCATATGGTGCGAGGAGAGAAGTAGCATGTTAGGAGACAGGAAATGCAGGAAGGGGCTGGCGGCGCAGGACTTTAATGTCAGCAGGCTTTCTATCTGATCCTGGAGGTAATAGGAAGCCCCTGGAGTTTAGTGAGCAAGGGGAGTGACCTGGTCAGCATCATCTTCAGTTACCTGGGGTCACATCCATGCTCTGAGGAGACACTGGCGCTGGACTCAAAGGGTGACCGATGATGTCAGAGCAGGGACAAGACGGCTTTTGTTTTTGTTTGCCCATCTTACCACAAACGTGGGTAGACAATTAGTCACTGCCAGGCGGGATGGAGAATAGCGAGGCTCAGAAAAAAGCACGTCCTGCTCACCTTCTGGCACTGGGGAGTGTGTGTGCTCCCCAGACACTGGTGGGGAGAGTCAGGCCTAGCTCTTCTGGGCGACGAGGTAGCAGCAATAGCCACTGGCTTGATTTGGGGGATTTATGGGCCTCCCAGCCCTTCCTTTCAGGGAAGAGGAGGAGGAGGAGGAGGAGGAAGAGGAGGAGGAGGAGGAGGAGGAAGAGGAGGTTCTCCAAAAGGCACAGACTGAACAGAGCCTCTCGCAGGGGAAATGTGAGATCAGAAGAGGGTGACCCCAAGGAGCAGGAAGTTGAGGAGAACCCTGGAGGGAAATGATGCGGAGAGACGGGATGATCGGTGCCCTGGCGGTGAGCGTACTGTCCAGCCAGGCCCCACACAAGGCTTGATCCAGTGGGGGCGGTCTCTGGGGATGCTGATTAGACTGACAGACCTGGTCAAGCAAAGCCAGAGGCGCGGAAGAGGGGGATTCGGGCATCAGCTCCGAGTGTCGGCCAGTCTGGTCCGAAGCATCCTGGGGATGAGGAACGACAATGCAGCGCTTGAAGGCTGGCGAAAGGCTTTCGTTACAACAGCTCTGTGAAGTGGGTACGGAAATAATTACATCTGAAGAAACTGAGGCACTGAGAAGATAAGGTTGTCTGAGGAAACACAGCTGATGAAAAAGAATTAATCGACTGCTTGCTGTGTCCCAGGCATTGTGCTGAGTCAGCTGCGAATCAAGCCTACTGCCCCCACGGCCAGCCCTCCGCTGTTCATTTGGAAGGGGGAGAGATAAAGGAATCCAGAAAATCACAAGACTTGGAGTTGGAGGTGTCCTTAAAAACCATCCCCACTTCACAGGCGAGGAAACTGAGGTCTACAGAAGAGAAATAAATTGTACAAGGTGACACAAGGAGCAAGTAGTAAAGCTTAAGATTCTCACCCAGGTCCCAAGCTCTTGCTTGGGGCAGCTTGGTGGTGAAGTTCAAATCCAGTCTCAGACACTTATTAGTTGTGTGACCCTAGGTAAGTCACTTAACTGCTGTTTGCCTCAGTTTCCCCATCTGTAACATGAAGGTAATGATAGCAATTCCTTCCCAGGTTGTTCTGAGGATCAAATGAGATAGTATTTGTAGAAGTGCTTGGCCCAGGGCCTGGCACATAGTAGATGCTGTAAATGGCAGCTAGAATTCTCTAGTATTATTACTGCTCTCCTCCAGGCGGCTGGCGCTTTCAAGGCGCTGTTTTCTGGTAGGCTGAATCCTGGCTAGAGCCCACAAGGGGAGTCTCAACAGGAGTTTTGGGATCCTCATCAGGCCAAGGGACAGTGGCAGGAGGAAGGTGGAGCAGAGCAGGCCCCTCCGGAGGACCCCCTCGGGAAGAATCCTGAGGCCGGCTGGCTCGGCTGCTGTGGTGATGAGGCAGGCGGGGACCCCAAGTCTTCCCTTAACGGGAAGTGGATCCACGGCTATTCTGGGGGCTCAGGAGCGCTAGCACAGGACAGGAGCTCCCGCGGGCCCCCCACCAGGGGCGAGCCGCTGGTTAAACGGTCACTCACCCTGCCCCCCAAACAGCCAAGGCTGTAAATCAGGGCTCGGTTTATGCTCTGTGGATCGTCCAGACAAGAAAGTGATGCAGAAAATGTTTTTAATGCAGGCAAAGCTAAAAGGCGCATTGAGAATAAATTATTTTTGTTGTTGTTGTTGTTGTTTTTTCTGGAGCACCAGCTGTTCAACATCTACCAGCATAGGATGCCGGCCTGGCTCCTCTCTTGCATTGACAAACCCCGGCCCTGGATTTCCCCTCCTGGCCTCCTCTCCACCCCCATTCACGACTGGTGAATTGTACAGGAGAAAGTCACACAAGCACCGTGATGGGTTCCACTACAAATCTCTATTCTCCAGACTCCACTAGACCCTCACTGTCCCTGGGCAAACCTACTATTCTTCTGCCTCTACGGGCTATTATGAGGATGACCAGAGATCATGTTTGTAAAGCGCTTATCGTGGTGCCTGGAGCACAGTAGGTGCTTAATAAATGCATGTTCTCTTCCCTTCTGCTCTGCTCCAATTGACTCCCCATGGAATCCCCAGAGCAGCTGTCCTAAGCATGGTACAATGAACAAGGGCCAGGCAAAAACACATTCCCGTCCCTTAAGGAGCCTACATTATAATGAGAGAAGAAATATGCAAATAGTTCTGTCTATAGAAAATAAAGACAGAGTGGATAGATAGTAATCAGTAATCACAGAGGGAAGGCATTAGTGTAAAGAGTATCTGTTCTGGAAAGAAAAGACCTGAGCTCAAATACTGCCTCTATTAATTAACTAATTAATAAATTAACCAGTAATAGTGTATGACTGGGGACAAGTGGCTTAAGTTCCCCAGCTCTCAGTTTCCCCATCTGTAAAATGAAGGGGCTGGATTAGACAACCTCTCCCGTCCCTAACAGATCTACACCTATGACCCTATGACCTTCTCTTCTCTCCACTGGACTCTGACGTGATCTCCTCTCCCCTTCTTCTTGGCAGAGCTAGACTCCGGGGTGAAGACTGAGCTGCATTTCTTGGACGTGGCCAACGTGAGACTAGGTTTTGCTTTACTATATATATATATTTGTTATAAAGGTGCTGTCTTTTTTTTTTCTTTCTTTTTTCCCAACAGGAATAAAAAAGTGAGTTAAAGAAAAAATGTTGTTAATTGGAAAAAATTGATTTTTTAAAATGGCATAGTAAATTTGATCATGGTTACAGAAGTGGGGTGGGGCAGAAGAAGGGTGCATAGTGAAGGTACAGTAGGGTACTATTGTGGTTGTTTGCCCTTCTTTTTGGAAGGCGACCAATGATATCCTGGAGCGGTGTCTCGACTTGTTCAGGAATTGCATTTAAGTGAGGCAGAGCTGCACAAAGTCGTCAGCCTCACTCTCTCCTCCAGAGGACTAGGGCAAAACAAAGCATAGTTGGGGCCCACCTGAACTAGGCGGCCAGGAGAGGCAGTTACCGAACGCGTCCTCAGGCCCTAGCCCGGAATGGAAGTTCTGGAGGTGAAAGAGTGAAAACCTCCAGAGGTGGGTCTCTAGATCTGAGAGCACGGCCAATATTTTAAAGACACTGACTCTCGTGCAAAGAAACGGATTCCCTTGTCACTTCCCCTTGTCACGGGAGAGTAAATCAATGTAACAATAGAAACTAGGCACCCAATACAATTTTGGGTTTGAGGGTAACCCACCCGTCTCCCCAAGCCAAAATCACCTCCCCTTGTTATGGTCACAGAATCTCCTTATAGGCTCCTGGGGCCTCTGGGGCCATCTAGTACCTTATGGGCCCGAGGAGGAAGCTCGGATGGTCCTTCGGAATCATGAGCGCCTAGCAGAGAGCTGGTCTACAGGGAGGTGAAGGAATGCACCCATTTCTCAGATGCATGGTCAGTGTCAGAGCCTGAAGGGGGCTTCTGACTTTAGGGCTGGACTTTGAGTCAGGAAGATATACGTGGGTTTGAATCCCACTTCACAGCCCTACTAGCTGTGGGACCTGGGCAAGTCATTGGGTCACAGACTCGGTGCTCATTGGCACCATCAGGAAGGGCCAAAGTCAGCACAAATAAGGAGGCCCCCAAACCCCACCCCAGACGAGCAGAGGTTGATCTTTGGTAGGCATCACTGGAAGACGCCCGCCCTGCTGACAATACCCAGACAGAGTCCACCCTGAACCGCGTCCTGCCCCAGAGGAATTGTCTCAATTTTCTCAGGTTTCTTTCAATTTTCTGAGGAATTACAATGGCCTTTTCTTTCAAAACAAAAAGTTGATGCATTCCTCCCACCCATCAAAATTAAAACAAAGCAGATTTTCATCACTAGAGATTTTCCCGTCTTGTTTGCATAAATTGGGCACATCTGAACATTCAGAAACCCATTTCTGCCCTCATAGGATGGTAGTGTTGAGGCTGGAAGGGACTGCAGAACTCATCAGGTCCAACCCCTAGATTTTACAGATGAGAGCAAGGAGGCCCAGAGAGGGTGTGACCTGCCCAGGGTCACACAGGCAGTGAGCCTAGCCCCCTGATTCCACCGCACCTCCACCCACACCCCTTTCCTGGCTCTGCTGCTGACCCCAAGGACTTATCCCTCATTCCCCAGCTGACTTCTCACCCTGGAACACCCCTCCCCCAATATTGGCCCTTTCTGCTATAGATGAGTCCCTTTCGGGGCCTACATTTTGGGAATGTGTCCAGGCCCACCCTGCTTCCTTCCTGCTCCTGGCTGTGCTTCTGCCCCTTCCTGGGTCCCTCCCCTCCGCTCCTTCCTTCTGCACTGTATCTTCCCCTATCAAAATGTAAGCTCCCTGCCGTTAGAACGGTCTTTCTTTTAGCTTGTATTTGTTTCCTTAGCTTAGCACATGCCAGGTACACAGCAAGCACTTAATAAATGATCGCTGCCTGCCTACCACATGCTCCCTCCCCCCCTGAACCCTGGAGCTGATTATGTTGGTGCGTGCCTGCATGCAAGACCCCATCTCAGCTGCTACAGCTTCCCAGGCACGGGGACAGATGGCCCTCCCGAGAGGGTGCTTGCAAACTCTGTTTGAACAAATATTGACACTTGGGTAGGAAAATGTCCCTGTCCTTCCTGCTCCTCCCTCTGGCTGGCGACCCAGCTGGCTTGGGAGTGGGTATTGAGGCAGAAAGAGCCCAGGGGAAATGTGGGAGGCAGCGGGCCAGCCAGGAGAGCTCAGCAGGCTCCTGGTTCACCGGTCAGTCACCAACTGAGGAAAAGTGCACACACTGAGAGCTGGAAGGAACGTCAGAAGTCATTTTACAGATGAGGAGACCGAGGCCCTCCCCAAGGTCTAGGAGCCACATTTGGAGCCCAGGTCCATGGATTCTGAATCCCTGTTATGCCACACCTCTGTAATTCAGCTGGGAATCCTCCAGCCCAAAGCCTTTTCAGACAGAAATGCAGCCAAAGCAGAAAAAGACAAGTTTTACCAAACATCATTCCCATTGGGCTGGCCCCCATGGGCCATCTGGTCTGACCTCTCACTTCCAGATGAGGAAACAGAAGCCCACAGGGTTTCGGGTCTTTGCCCAAAGTCCCTGGTCATCTCTTTTGAATCCAGGCCCCTTGTGTCCAAATCCAGCCTCTGAACACTGCCATCCTAAATTGAAAACCTGGGGAAGTCATCAGGCCCTCAGTTTCCCTATCTGTAAAATAATGGGGTTGATGACCTCCAAGGTCAAGCAATGAATTATCAGGCTTGAACCAGCAAAACCAGAGACTCCATGTTATGTTAGGACCAAGAGTTAAAAAGCTGTTTTTGAAAAGCTACCACTTGGCAAGAGGCCAGGCCCCATTGGCATCTGAGCAGGTCTTTAGAATGTCATTTGCATAGATGGGAAATTCCTCTTAAATTATTTCCTCATACAAATGTATGTTTGGCCCAGACTCATGAAGGTCCCTCCCCCTTCCCCTACCACTTGTGTGGGAAGGAGGAGGACAGGAAGGGCAGCTACAGCCCTTCTCAGACCCCACAGGGAAGACCGGGTCCAGTTCTGGGCACTGCCATCCTGAGGAGCGCAACCAGCATGGGGAAGGGCCTCCAGCCTGTACCCTATGTGGATGGGTTGAAGGAACTGGGGATGTTCATCATGGCAACCAGAAAACTCCAGGGAGACATAACAGCCAGCTTCAAGTATCTGCAGGGCTATTACACAGACAGGGAACAGAGGACACAACTAGATCTCTATGGACTCAAAATAAAATTCAAGTTGTTACACACAAAATAAAAGGAATTGTAAACATAGAACAATAGGAACAGTTGGGCAGTGTAGCGTCTATCCATAGTGCTAGACCTGGGGTCGGGAAGACCCGAGCTGGAGATGAGTGCAAGAGCACAAGAGTAGGGTAAGCCTGGGAAAGAAGGAAAGGACCAGGTAGGGAAGGGCTGAAATCACCAGAGAACTTTGTTTGATCTCAGAGGCCGAGGGCTCTGGCTGGGGTTTACCTGGGTAGGAAGGGACACCTTCGGGCCGTGCTTTAGGAAGATGCCTTTGGCAGCTGAGTGGAGAGCCGACAGGCTTGAGGCAGGGGGACCAACCAACAGGCGGCTGCAACAGCCGGACCTGAGCGGGTCAGATCCCACACTGGGGAAGGAGCTGTGAGTGCAGAGAAGGGAATGGGGAGGAGGGATGTGAAGCCAGGGATTGCTGGAGCAGGGCATAAGGAAGGAGGGCATCACAAAGGTGGGAGATAGAAACTCATCATTTACCGCAAATAGCAAGGAAGCCACTGGCTGCAGCGGGGAGGGGAGGAAGGTGTAACTGCTAAGATTTGTAAGAAACACTGGGATGGAGGCAAGACCAAGGAGGGGGACTCTGCGGACTTGGGTGGGGGGCAGCTATGTGCCGCAGAACTGTTTCAAACCCTTGGGCTGGGGAGGGACCAGCCACCTGATCCTAACTGAGCCCTCCAGGGTCATTCCCAAATGCTAGATACACAAATTCCAGTTTGTGCAGCTGGCTGTGGAAAAAGCAAAGTTAATTCTATCGACTATCTCCAGTTAGTGTAGATAGAATAGAGCCAACTTCAGGAAAACCCAGTCTTTGAGTGATACAGTGGATAGACCACTGGACTTCAAGTCAGGAAAACCTGGGTTCGAATGTCACCGTGACCCTAGGTAAGTCACTTACCCAGGCCTCAGACTCCTAATCTGTAAAATAATGGGATTGGACTATATGACCTCAAAGGTCCCTTCTGGCTGTGACTCTACGATTGTGTACACTGCTGGAGACAATCCTAAACTCCTTAAGCACTCTGGGTGTCATTAGGAAACTTGGATCGGAACCCTAGCTCTGCCTTCGTGACCTCGGACAAATTACTTAACCTTTCTGAGGGGGCAAAAGCCCCCTGGGGTTCTAAATCTCTTATTTCAACTCGATTCAGCATTTATTAAGCACCTCGGGAAGCAAAGACAGAAAGGAAGGCGGCCCAGCCTAACACAGTCTCTGAGGCAGAGAGCGCTAATGACTGGAGGCGGTGCTAGAGGCACAGGGGCTGCCTCTCGATCCTGTACGTCCCCAGCGACCCCAGACTCGATCAGCGTTTGCCTTTGATGATGCTATATGGTGACATCAGTATAACGGACATCCCAAGTCTTCCTGCCTCCAGGTCCAGCACTGAAAAGAGGCATGGGCCAAGCCAGGATTCAATTCAGGAATAACACACGCTGAACTCAGAACTGGGCTGGTCCCTCGACTCAGTGGACACGGAGTCATGTCCCACATCAGCCACATCTCCAGGCCTGTTCCCTTCCCTTTCAAATAACCAGTTTGACCTAAGAATCCCCTGGGGATTCCCAGGGTCCCTTCTGGCTCTAGGTCCTGTGAGATCCAGGCAAAGATAACCCTTGACTAGCCTAAAGGTTGCTTCTAAGTCTCTAGCAAATCAGCTCATGCATAAACTTTCTCCTTTCACAGCCCAGTGGACAAATGTCTCATCCACTGCAGCTGTGAATGCATACATGTAGTCCTTTACATTCCAGAGTTTTGATACCGACTGCATGCACTCCCTGCACTAAACAGACTTGTTTTCCAGTTGACAGGCGAGGTAAGCATGTGTTGGACCTTTAAAAGGGTTCTTAGGTCTTTTCACCGAGCTGGGAAATAGGACCTGTAGACTCTAATGCCTCAGTGGCTTAATTGAGAGGTTGGTCCTGCCAGTTTGGAAAAAGAGAGGAAGGGGATGGGGGATAGAGGGATCTGGACCCCCCAACAGTGTAAGGATCTCCTGGTGTGGAAACCCCTTTGACCAATGTGGACTTACACTCCTCTGTAACCCACACCGATTAAAAGCTGCTGGAACACCAAGTGGTCAAGTGATTTGTTCATGGTTATCCAATCAAGCAAGCAACAAAAAATATTTATTAAGTGCCTTCTGTGTGCCAGGGACTGGGCTGGGTGCTCAGATGAGGCAACCTCTGTCCTGGTATGTCAGAAGCAAGACCTGACCCCGGGGTCTTCCTGACTTCCATTATAATAGTCAATAAACATTTATTAAGCACCTACTATTGGCAGATACTGTGTTAAGCCTGGGGATACAAAAAACTTAAAAACAGTCCCTGCCCACAAGGAGTTTACAATCTAATGAGTACACAAAAGGAAGCTGAAAAGGGAGTGGAGGGATATACCTGACTCAGGGGAGATTTTCTATTCATATATCTATCTATCTATCTATCTATATATATATATACATATATACATATATATATACACATGTGCATATGCATATACACATACACATAAAATATGTGTATGTGTATTGTGTATCTGTAAATACATCCGTATATATATGTATGTGTATGTATATTTGGGGGTAGCTAAGTAACACAATGTATGGAGGGCCAGGCCTGGAGTCAGGAAGACTCATCTTCCTAAGTTCAGATCTGGCCTCAGACACTTACTAGCTGTGTGACCCTGGGCAAGTCACTTCACCCTGTTTGCCTCAGTTTCCTCATCTGTAAAATGATCTGGAGAAGGAAAGGCAAACCACTCCAGTATCTTTGCCAGGAAAACCCCAAATAGGGTCACAGAGTCAGACACGACTGAATATACATGTGTGTGTATATATATATATATATACATGTGTGTGTATGTATATATATACATATGATAATAATGATAACAGCTAACATTTCCATGGTGCCTTAAGGTTATAACACACTTATATATTATTTCATTTGACCCTCACAACAACCCTGTGAGGTAGGTCCTATTGCTATCTCTACTTTACAGATGAAAAAGTTGAGGCAAACAGAGAGGTAAGTGACTGTCCAGAGTCAGTCTGAAGCAGGATTTGAACGCAGGGTCTTACTGACTCCAAAGATAGCTCTCTCTCCTCTTGCCTGCTCTCTTTGATCAAAGAATTATGCCCATTTCCAGTGGCTAGCATCCCAAAAGAACAGAAGACAGCAGTTTTTTAAAAGCTTAGGGCCAAGGTGTTGGCCCCTTGGGGGAGAACGCTGGGGGCCGGCCACTGTCCCCAGGCTCTCCACAGCTATCCAAGGGCATTCTTGGAATAGGTTACAGACCTACAAGTCAGGACTTGATATGCAAAAGGTTAAGACAGACAACCACTTCTAGGTAACAAACATTCTCCTCCACCGGCTCCTTTAGGTAGACAAACTATTCATTAGCCTGCCATAACAGCATATTCATGATAAAAATAGCTGGCCTTTATCAGCCTGGCACATAGTAGGGCTAGAGATTGGACCCATGACTGCACTGGTGTAGGAAACTCCCAGGTGAAGAAAGCCCCTCCACCAATAGGTCATTTGCACCTTCTCTGAAGTTTAAAGTCTTAAGAGAGGGCAGAGTCGTAATCTGGGTCAGCCTGAACCAGATTAAAATGAAACTGGGAAACATTTAGCAAAATAAAAATACAATAAATCATAGATAATATTAAATTTAAATTAAATTAAGCCTAAATCAATATGTGACCTGCAGGGATCTTTATGTATCGGGCAGCCGACTTTCCTGCTCTGGGACATCCCCGTGACTTCAAGCCCAACTCTCTGCATCGATGCTGCCTCTACACTGCAGTCTAGTCTTATAGTATTTCTGTCTCTGTGGGCTACTGTTAGGTGAAGGGGGAAGAGTAACGGCAGCCACTGAGGATCAGGGAGGGCTTTCTGGAAGAGGCATCCCCTAAAGAGCCTTGAAGGTAGAGGTTTCAAAAAGGCAGGGAGAAGGACGAAGTTCTTTTCAGGCAAGGAAAGGGAGGCTGTTCACCTGCCTGGAGATGGGAGATGAGCTCCAATTTCAGAGAACAAATAGGCCCGGGTTTCGAGGCCACAGAGAGTTCTGGAAGGGCCTGATGTGAAATCAGGCCACTCACGGAAGCCGACTTTCCCCATTATTGATCCGTGTCTGGTCAGCTCCAGCTGGTCTAACTGACGGCCCAATTCTGCAACATGGCCATCTGGGCCAATTGCTAGTTTCCTTCATGCACACACATCCCTTTCATTCCATCTGTCCCGGGAACAGTAAGATCCTTGGAGGAACCCATCATTCAAATTACAGCTGACCTTTACAGGGTGTCCTAAGGCTTTCAAACTCACAAGAATCCTGCCAGTGGGGAATTATGGGTATTATTGTCTCCATTTTACAGATGAGGAAACTGAGGCTCAGAGGTGTGCTTTGCCCAAGGACCCGCAGGTGGCCAAACCACGATTCCGGGGCTCTCTCCCCTTCCTGGCTTCAAGTCCAGCGCTTGCCCCCACCCCTCACCAGGCAGCCTCCCGAGTTGCATCAAGTGTAACAGAGTTAAACAGGACTTCCTAGACGGCTGGCCGATCTTCTCTCGGCTTCTCCCGTACCCCCCCCTCCCCCAGATCGCCGCCCCCCCCCCCTTCCGGACACCCCAGCCTAGGTTCAGCTCAGGCTGTCTTAGACCAACCACATTTGGCGCCGGGAAAACCCAAACCAACACAAAACCTCCTCCCGGCACGCTGGACAGCCCCCACCCCACCCCCCGCCGGGTAGGGGGACCGTGGCCCCAAATGGGCCCTCCGGCTGGGGGGCGGGGGTGGGGAGCAGGGCCCATCAGTGTCCGCGGGGGCGCTGGGCTCTCCAGCTGTGGTCAGACGGGGCGTGGCAGCCCTCTGGCTCCGAGGGTGAAGGCTCCCACAGGCTCGGGAGCGGAGGGGGAGGCTGGCTGGGGCGGGGCCTCCTGCGGCTTTGGGGGTGGAGGGAGAGGAGGAGGTTGGACGGGGAGGGGCCTTTTGCGGGCACCAGGAAGGGAAGAGGCTGGACTGGGCGGGGCCTCTCCTAGGCTCCGGGGGTGGAGGGCGTGGAGGGAGGCTGGACGGGGCGGGGCGGGCTGACGGGCGGGGGGGGAGGCTCCTCCGGCTCCGGCTCTTACTCCTGCCCCTCCTCCTCCATCCCCCATCCTCCGTCCTCCATCCTCCTCTTCCTCCTCGCAGTCCTCCTCTAGCCCCGCGGTTCCCCGGCCGTGCCCCGCGCTCGCCTCCCCGAGTGGCCGGCTGCGGGCGTTCTCAGGGCCCCGCCGGGGGACGCCAGGCTTGGCTGCGGGCTTTCTCTTTCTCTTCGCTTCCTGGGCACGGGGAGGCCGGGAGGCGGTGGCGGGCGCGGCTTGACCCCCGGAGCCGTCGGGGAGCGAGGATGATGTACCTGAAGCCGTCCTGGGCGCAGGGCTGCGGCGGCCTCCTGCACCTGGCCGTCCTGCTGAGCCTAGCGGGGCTCCGCGTGGACCTGGACCTCTATCTGCTGCTCCCCCCGCCGCCGCCCCTGCTTCGGGATCCCTGGACGCTGCAGGGGAGCCCCGGCGGCGCCGCCTACGCGCTGCCTTCCTTCCAAGAAGGAGCCGTCGGGGGCTGGGGCCAGCCGCATCCCAAGCGCCCGGACGGGGACTCAGCCTTGCCGTCCGAGGGGCAGCGGCTGCTGCAGGAGGTGCGCGCGCTGGGGGTCCTCTTCATCCCGTGCACGCACGTGGATGCCTGGCTGGTGCAGTGCGTGGCTTCGGCCGGGGGCGCCGACGGGCCCCCGACCCTGCTGGGGAACGCCGCCCCGACCGAGGCGAGCGGGGAAGCGGGCCTTGGAGACCCTGGCGGTAGTAGCAGCGGTGGCGGCAGCGGGCCGGCCCGAGGTGAGGTCAAAGAGCAGGAGGCTAGAGAAGATAAGCCCCCGACGGCTGCCCCAGCCCCAGGAGGCGTCGAGACCGGCGGCGGCGGCGGCGTCGAGGAGGTAACGAACATCGTGGCACGCTCCCCCGCTTCCCTGGGATTCAGAGCCGGGCCGGAACCTTAGGGTGCATCCAAGCCAACCTCTCCTTTTTTTGAGAGGGGGAAAGCTGAGACGAGGTGAAGGGACTGGCCTAAGGTCACATAGGCTGCAGAGCCAGGATGCCAACGGAGAGGCCTCCGACTCTGGGGTCTCCTTCCACTCCCTCACTCACTGTGCGGCTAGCCGGGACAGTGTAGACGAGATTCGGAAGCTTAGCTCTGCCTCACTCCCAGATGGGGCGGGGATGGAAACGGGAAATTAGAAGCGATTCGAGGGGATTATCTAGGCTCGAACAGAGAAGAAATGGGGAGGAATCAATCCCTCGGGCACGGACCCGCCAAGGGAGGAAATCGAAGGACCCTTAAGTCTGACATTCTAAGGAAGATTGAGCCGGGAGCCCCCCCTTCCCCCCCTCCCACTTCTGCTGTTCTAGGATTTTAGGATTCCTTGACCCCGGCGTGGGGAGAGAGCTCTTTGGTGCTGGGAAGGAGGGCTAGGTGACAATTCCCCCTCCTGGTAGCTTCCTAATTTGGATCTTTCTGAAGAATCTTCTAGTGTGTGCTCTAGTCTGCCAGACAAACACAGTGGGTGGTAAGCAGTTTACAGATGGGGAAACTGAGGCACAGGGAGTTTGTGACTTGTCCCAAGTCATAAGCCTAGTTCAAGCCAGGACTGGAAGCCAGGCCTCCAGGCTCTCTTCTACTCCCTTCATAATCTTGGTGGAACAGAAGCAGATTTCCTCCAAGAGAGACCAATGAAAAAAAGTTGCTTCAGACTAGAACTGTGGCCCCGTGACCTAGGTTTGAATCCTGCCTCTGACGCTTAAACCACCTGTGTGACCCTGGCCAAGTGCCTTGACTTTCTCTGGGCCTCATTTTGCAGCTGTATAAAATAAGAGGGTTGAATGAGATGGCTTCAAAGGGCCCTGCCAGCTAGAGCCTCTTCTAAAGCTCTGAGCTGTGGGAAAAAGGAAATCTTGGGGTATTTTTCCCCTCCTCATAAAAACCTTCCACCAGTCATAGGCAAGTCACCCCAGCCTGGACCAACCGGTATTGCAGTGAGGGTAAGCGCCCTAGGCCAGCACCTGGTCCAGTAGGAGTGGGCCTCTCCAAGGGGGTTGGATGTTTGTCCGCGTGTGCTAACAATAATTCCAGAACAGTCCTAATAATAGCTCAGGGTGGTGCCCAGCCCTCATTAGTGCAAGGAAAAGAAAGGCACCAACTATCTCATCTCCGTGGGACAAACAGGTTTCCTTTTGTCTGTGAGCTTGTCCCAATCAGTTTTACTCCCACCCCTAAATGCGCCAGCACGGACTCCGGAGAAGTGGCCTGTGCCGGGTGGACTGGGGCCCAAGACGGGCAGTAACAGCCAAGGACACAGGGCGCCTTCCTCAGCCTGACCCCCACTCTCACTCCGAGGCCTTTAAATGACGTTTTGCCTGAAACCTGAAGGTTAGAGATCAGTATCAGTCAAGATCTGCACCTAGGATGTTGTTTGGTTGAATTGCAATCTTATGCAAATGAGGGGAAAAGCTCTGAGCTGGCTTAACTCTCCGTGGGCATGCTGTTGCTGGACAAACTTCTCCACCCTCAGCTAAAGAGAGGATTGTCTCCAAGTGTGTAATGATTCACCCCGATGCTAATCTAACCCCGATCCTCCTGGGATGGATCACACAGTCATCCCTGCCCCTTGCCTGTCACCGCCTTCCTCAGTCTACCCACACAGACTCTCCCCCCCACACTGCCACCACCCTTGTTCTGTCCTGTCTGTTGATCTCTCCTTTCTCCCCCTTGATAATCCATCCTCCCCACAGTTGCTGAAATTAACCAGCCTTGTACCTTGGAAGACGGTTACTGCCCAGCTCATAAAACTTCCATGGCTCCCTATGGCCCCAAGGTTAAACTGCAAAGCCCTCCACCATCAGCTTCAGCCTGGTCTTCCAATGCTCTGCATTCTTGCTATGCTGGGCTAGCTCTTGCCCCGAACGCCACACCTCCCCATCTCTGGCCTATGGGTGTTTGTACAAACCACATCTCAGTCTCTCAGAATCCTTATCCTCCCTCAAGACTTATCCCCCTTCTTCAGGAAGCCTTCCCTGATTTCTGCTGCTCTTGTTTCTCCTTCCTAGTGATCTCTCCTCTTCTAGATTTATTTAACTCTGGTCCCTATTGTGCTGGGGATACAGATACGAAAGTGAGACACTCCCTGCCCTTAAAGAGGGTACGGGGCGCAGAAGGAAGTCTGACAGTAATAAATAGCAAGCACTTACATAGTGTTTTAAGGTATGTAATGTACTTCGAAGGTGGGGCAGTGGATAGAGCACCAAGCTGAGAGTCAGGAAGACCCATCTTCCTGAGTTCAAATCCAGCCTCAGACACTTACTAGCTGTGTGACCCTGGGCAAGTCACTTCACCCTGTTAGCCTCAGTTTCCTCATCTGTAAAATGAGCTAGAGAAGGAACTGGCAAACCACTCTAGTGTCTTTGCCAAGAAAAGCCCAGATGGGGGCACAGAGAGTCGGACACAACAGAAGTGGCTAAGAAACAACAAATGTACTTTACAGAGGTGATCTCATTTGATCCTCACAACAACCACCTTGAGAGGTAGGTGCTGCTATTATCCCCATTTTACAGATGAGGAAACTGAGGCAAACAGGGTGAAGTGACTTGCCCAGGGTCACACAGGTAGGAAGTGTCTGAGGCCAAGTGCAGCTCTCCCACAGATGGAGGACAAAGAATGAGGCGTGATAGACCCAAATGAGAGATCCCTTTGAGCTGGACTTGGGTTGGAAGAGTCAGGGAAGGCTTCTGGAGGAGGTGGCAGCTGGGCTGAGCTGTGAAGGGAAGGAGCCCAAACTGGAGGTGAGGAAGGCGGGAGTCCTAGGCAGGCACACTGCCCAGAGGTGAGGCTGGAAGGCCTGCCTACCTAGCTTAACTGGCTGCAGGAATGAAGGATGGGGGCAGCTAGGTGGCGCAGTGGATAGAGCACTGGCCCTGCAGTCAGGAGGACCTGAGTTCAGATGTGACCTCAGACACATAGCACTCACTAGCTGTGTGACCCTGGGCAAGTCACTTAACCCCAAGCGCCTCACCAAAAAAAAAAAAGAATGAAGGATGGACTGTGCAACAGCTGAAGGCGCCATTGAGAATAGGGGCCACTCCCTTCACTACAGTGGCGGAATCTCCTGGGGAGAATGATGGTCTAAGGCAGGCACTATGTCCCTCTGCCCTTTGGGGCACAGATGATGTCCTTGGGGGAAGGGGCCCGAGAAGGTGGGAAGGGTCTGGCCCCAAGGTCCAGCTAAGGCACCAAGCCTTAGTAGGTGTACAGGTTTCTGTTTCGAGCTCAGCCTCCCACCGAGGAAAAGCTGAGTTCAAGGCTTATTTCAGCCACTTCACTATCTGTGTAACCCCAGCAAGGCAAGGAATCTGTCAGTGCTGGAGCCAGATATAGAATTTGCAGAGCCCCTATCTATCCTGTCTGTTACCGGTGCTTGGTACAAAATAGGTGCTTTATAGATGCTCAGCCCCCATCCTATCTATCCCCAGTGCCTGGTACCTAGTAGGTGCTTCATAGATGCTCAGAGAGGCCTGACTTGTCCATGGCCACTCAACTGGGTGAGGATTCTGCATTTATGTAACCTCTTCCAGCTGTTGGTTAGCCTCTGGGATCTTCCAGGTGTGGGGCAGGGGCCCAGAAAGCCTGCAGTGGCTCTGGATGCTCTTGGAGAGGTGAAATGTGACATACAGCGACAAAGTCCCATATACTGGGGCAGTACCGACCTTGACCTTGGCGGTCCCATGGGTCAGATGGGTGGGCCTTCTTGGGCAGGGGGTCTGATCCGAGATTAGGATTAGCCACTCCTGTGCACGAGGTGCTGAATTGAATTAAATAAGCATTGAGTGTCCACTTGAGTGGGTAGAGAATGGTCCTCAGAATCTGGGAGACTTGGGTCTGAGTCATCTATTAGTAATTTAATCCCTCAGGACCCCTGGTGACCCTTTAAGAAAGGGAGTCTGTGCTGGTGGAGGGAGAGTCCTCTCAGAAATGAAATCCTAGGTCTAATAATCTACATTTTTTAAATGTCCCAGGTCTGAGAGTTCAAAGGTAAAGTGAAGCCTTTCTCAGGGAGCTCATGTTAATAGCTGAGAGCCTCGCCAGTCACTGACTTTATAGAGCCCTTTGAAGTGTTCAAAGCCAGTGGAGCATGCGTGCACTGGCTGCCTGGTGCAGTGGAGAGAGAGGACCTGGGTGGGAATCCCGCCCTTGTGCTTCCTAGGCCTCAGTTTCCTCAGCTGTAAAAGGAAGGGCTTGCACTAGGTGGTCCTGTCCACTCCAAGTCTGTGATGCTGTGACGGCTGCCTGGAGCCAAAGAGAGGATCATCCCCCCCCCACTACCCCCCAGCCCAGACACAGGCTCCTCAAAGGCGTCATGTGCCAGCGGAAGTCGGGTAGCATGTAAGTGTCTAAGGGCAGGAACGCTTCTTTTCCTGTCTCCGGCCTGGCACAGAGTAGGCCAGTCTGTGCTTATGGCACTGAGTCGAGGAGATCTCCCTTCCTCATTCCCTGGAAGCATTTTGGCTGCAGCTCATTTCTCTTCTGGAACGCTCAGGCCAGTTTAAAACTGCCTCAGGACTTCCCCTGACAGCCGAGCTGCCCCTCAGCACCCACCTGGTGACCAGAGAGCTAAGGATGCCCTGGGGGCCAGTGCTCCAGAATCAGCCCAAGCTCCGACCCCACAGCTCAGTGGCTGGCCCCTGGAGGTTTCCTGCCTTGAACCCAGGGGCCTGAACCCAGGGGCCTGGGGGGCCTTCTGGTGCGGAAGCTCCCTCCCCCTAGACATCATTGTCTCCTCTGTAGTCTTAGAGGAGGGGTTCTCAGCCTTTTTAAGTAGGAAAATAACTGAATTTCCACATAATTGGCTTCCTTCACATGATGGGTGCAGACTGCAGTGACAGATCT